AGAAAATATCAAACTAGACTTATCTCAAGCCAATTCATATAGTTTAATCTATGAAAATCACTATTCATTTGATAAATTCTGGAACTTTCAGTTTTCTTGGCTCAATTTTGGAAATTTGTATCTCTTACTATACACATCCAATTAAGGTAATATACCTATCATTTTAAATCTTGGGATGTGTATAATATGTCTACTAAGTTTCATGGCTTAACTCATATTTGATAGCTCAAACTGAAGCTGGAAGCTGACTGCTCCATGACCTTCGTTTTATCCATTAGATAATTCTTGCTTTAATTCTTTTTATTGTTTTGGCATGCATAACTTGGCTTTGTTCTTTCCCATTCATTCTTATACATTTCCATTCATGCTATAAATGTTCAAAACCAATACATCGGATCATCGACATTCATATACATAATTTACACAATAGGAGAATCATACATTAACCAATAGCTTTATTCATTAACATGAATAATTCTCCACTTTCTTCTCCTTCCTTCTCATGCTCTCCTCCATGCAATCATTATCCATCATACTTGACCTAAATGGTTGGTTAGGGAGGGGATGAGATTTAAGAGAATCTCAGTGGCAAACAATAACCACCCAAATATCCATGGCAAGCTTGGCATTTATAACATGCTTACAACTTAACATTTTTATAACACAATGACATGTTTGGAAATCATCATGCATTTATCATAAAACACATAGGCCTATGGCATGTTTCAAACACATTTACAATCACAACACATGAGTTCATAAAATCATATAACATAAAAACATGTTATACATGCAAGCAAATACCAAGCACATAAGAGTAAGATAAAGTTTGCTACCTTGTGTTTTTAAACTTTCTCTTTATTTCCTCTTGCTCCCTTTGCTACCAACCATTAAGATTGCTTGTTCAACCTTTACCATTCCTTTTTGGTGATGTCTGATGGCCCTAAATGCATCAACACATCATTTTCATTCATTTATTAGAGCCATGGTAATCAACAACATCAACACTTTGTTTTCTTTGAGTTATATTGACTTCTAACTTTTGAGCTTGATTTCCAACCTTTTTAAAATTAATTCCACATACTATTCCCGCACAATTTTGCATGTAGAATCTATTTCCAAGCTCAAAATAATCAAAATCAAACTCCTTCCCAATGAACTAGCCTAGACTGAAATATAACTCAAGTTACATAATCATGAAATTCAACTAATTAATTTCAACATAAAGCCACTTGATTCTTGTTCCTTTCAAGCCTTTAAACATTATTCTAACACCAATTTCATCTCTCCCTATTCTTAAGAATTTCATGCAGCATTTCCCCTTAGAGTTATAAGCTCCCAAAAATCATTAAAATCCATAACCAAGCTCAACAACAATAAAGGTAGTGAAAACTACATCAAAACCATAAACATACCTTGTTTTAGAGCTTGATCTTGTATGGACCATTTGGCCTTTCTTTCTCCCTCTTCTTTCTCTCTTTAGAAACCATTTTGCCAGAGCTTTCCCAAGGTTTCCTCTAGGTTAGACGAAAAGGAGGGAGAGGAGGGGGTATTTATAGAAAATAAGACTGAATATGGGCCATTATCTTAAAAACATGTGGCTTGATCTGGACCATCCATTTTCTCTTTTAATCTTATGGTGACAAGTGTCCTATGACATCATGCTTATCTCATCATGATGACTTCATGCTTACATCATCAAGCCACATATCTCTAATCCAACCATACACGCATCTTACATCCGGCTGTACATATGTCTTGCATCCAACCATACACGTGTCATCCGTCTTTTCCCCATCTAACCGTACACTTTTCTCTCCCATGTCCCTTCATCATTATGGCATAAAAATAGGGAGGAAATTAATATAAAATTCGTGCAAAATACAATCCTTAGACATTCCTCCACATTGCATCATATAACATGCCCAAAGAGAGAGTGATACTCTTTCCTGTTCTTCCATTAAAATAATTAAAATATTTATTTCGGAGTGATCTTGACCGAATTCTTTCTATCGGTTCACAACTCCGAGAATCTATCTCCGGGTACTAATAGTATTTATTCATCACAGGAAATTCCTCTACTTTTTCTTAAGTCCAAAGTCAACCTCTAGACCTTTGACTTTGACTTTTTCTGGATAGTGTATAAATAGGTTTTAAATTCTATTAAAGCAAACCTCTTTGCTTTTTGGGAAAGAAATTATTTTTAAAACCTGTGATAATTAATCAAGTATTTTTTTTCATTTGTTTCCAATTATCTAAAGTCTCCCTATACTTGAAATAATTTATTTTTGAAAATATTCCAAATCAATCAAAACGCTGGGAATTCCACAATTTCCTTCTAGAGGCATTTTCATCATTTTTAGCCTCATACAGGCCTTTGAATCATATTCCCATTTTTTTGAAATTTTCTTAAAGTGTTCAGGTCTTAACCTACTATTTCCCATTTTCTGGGATTTTCAGGCATAATTTTCATTTTTACCCTTACCAATCCAAAACTTTGCAAAATTACAATTTTGCCCCTAATTTGGTGTAACCTCAAAATTCACCTCATTGAGGCCTCCAACATAACCTTTGGCCTATATTTATTTTTATTTCTCATTCTTAGGCCCTGAGTCTCTAAATTCCTCTTTTCTCAGTCCTAGAAAACTTTTCCTTTACGATTTAGTCCTTAAGAATCTCTCTGTCCTTCTAGGAAATCTATGAGACCTCTGCTAAAAGAAATTTTAGTAGCCTACCTAATTCAGGTTAATTTCAGTACTTCACAAGGATGCGTTTTATATCTGCAACAATTTCCTTGGAGAATAAAATGACAGGTCCGATATCAATTTCCTCCTCTTCTTTTTTTGGCCAAAGCATTATAATATATAATGACATGTCATCCGATATAGACAAACTACTTTATATTATCATATATAATTTAAACTTGTGAATACATAACAATAAATTACCCCAAAAGATTCACTTTATATCAGAGTTTATAACTTACCTATCACTTTATATCCAAAATAAATTATATCACATATAATTTCAAAGCATACTATTTCACAATATATAAATTCATATCAGATTATATCATCAAATATAACATCACATCAAATTTGTAGCAACGAGGAAATGACGCAACTATTGACGAGTTTTTGCAACGATAAATGAAAGTGCTTATAACGACAAGTGGCCTTGTATCAAAACATACAACTTGTCCATCATATTATAACCAAAATAGATTACATCAAGGTAGTAAAGTTACATCATATTATTACTGAATATGTAAATTTATATATGGAAAAGATAATTTTAATGATTTTTAGCAGTAAGGAAATATTAAGGCGTAATGATTGTCACGAATGCCTGAAATGATAAGTGTACTTAAAATGACAGGCAGCTTTATATCAAAATTTATAACTCATCCAATAAATTTAGTACAAAACAGATTTACATCTTCTATATAATTACACGCATCTTACAACACATCCCATGCGAGGGGAATCCTATTGAGTGGGGTTATAATTGAATTTAACAGAAGTACATCTAGAGCACAAGGTCTCATTTGAATTCTTGTTATCCTTCTAACAGTCAAATTTTTTGGCTCACTAAATTTGATTGGATTGAACGTCCATAAGATGCAGTCTCCCAAGTAGCTGCTAAGTTGGATCCAAAACTGCAAAAAGCACTAAGCAGCTCAGCAAGAAATGGATTTAACAAGGCAAAGAATGCTTTAGTGCATGGCAAACTATCGAGCGCAAGATTCATGAGAATAAACAAACTTCTCCATATTTTAGCCAGGAGGTGAATGTTGCCAATCTCTATTGCAGAGATGATAGAGAGAAGAGCTCCACCTCCATTAGAATGGCGATGATGAAGACGAGAGTGCGACCCTCTTTCCTTCATCTTCTCTCACGAGCATGAGAATTAGCTCCTTCTTTCCTTCAAATTCACAGTTTAATCAATAAGGGCAAATGGCTAATTGCACAATTAGTCACCATTAAATCCCTTGGGAATCAGAATTATTTAATTATTTCATGGGACTTTTTGGTTATTAGATTTCTTCTTGGGGACCTTTCAATGATTCTCCCCTTTATATTCTTGTTTTATGAGAGGTACGTACAAGTTTTGAAAATAGAAGACATGTGCCTATTGTTTCAATAATAGAACTCAAGGATAGCATATAGAATTTACCCCCTATTACCGTACCATGCTCTTCATCTCATGGGCTGCAACATATCTTCATGATGGTTGTCGGGAAGAATAACATCCGGCACCTCCTCAATCTCATCTGCAGGCTAATGGTAATACCCAAGGAAAGTGATATATCACCACCGAATCATATATTGACAATGTCAACAACACATGGGGATGATTACAGTTTGACATCAAAAGATGGATTTAATTTCAGCTTGGGATCAAAAGATTCTAAACTTCCATTAAATGACCAGCCGTCATTAAGTGATATGACACTGATATTCTTCAATTTAACAATGATATTCTAAAGTTTAACATAAAAGACTTGTGTTAAAATTTGACACTAATATTTTCAGTAAAGGACCAAAGAGCACTAAGCAACTTGACGATATATGCTCCAAATTTGATATTAATATTATGAAATTTGACACTGATTCTAAAATTTAGCAGCAAGCAACGTGGGAATATTGTTGCCAAATTTTGAAATATTAGCCTCGAATTTCAGAATCTCGATGTCAATTTTTGGAATATTAATGTCAAATTAGTTAAGGATACTTGGTCTTTGCTCAAAATAAAGTTATGGATTTTTGGTCTTTTGCTGAAATTTCAGAATCGTTTGGTCCTAAACTAAAATCATTCATATTTTGTTTTCAAACAGTAATTGTCCCAAACACAAACCCGAGCACCCTCCTACCTGCCATAGTTCCAACAGACGCCACAACAAAAAGCCAACAATCATAACCAAGCAAAAGAGCTTGCCTGCCCATGATCCGCATGAGAGGTATCTAGAAAAGATATTAGACTATCAGCACCACAAGAAATATGGCAGCAATATTTCTTTCAAAGAAGAGGAAATTTATAAATATAATCAGACTCCTGCCCTTCCCAAACCATAAATCAATCTGCTAGCAACAGAGAATTAGACAATAGCAGATTTATGAATATTCCAACCTGAATTATACGCCCTCCCAAAAAAAAAAAAAAAAAAAAAGGCCAAAAGAAAAAGGAAAGAAAGAAAACTGAGGGGAGGGGGCACAACAGAAAAGTAGCAAGGGGACAAGTCTGGCAACAGCAAGCCAAAACAGAAGATTACAAGACTATAACACAGACAACTCTCAGCTTCATAGCAATTCCACCAGAAAAAGATTCGTTAGTGATAGTAAAATCCTCCAGTGAAACAAAACCTATCTATATCTAAGGGCCATCTTCATCTGATCTGTAGAAAAACTTGGTTAACTTGTAATATTCCATCTGTCCCTTTTCTCTGGTAAAATGCAAATTTAGATCCACTTCTTGGTCTTAGTGTCCAACAAAGGATTGGCAGCTAAAGCCACAGTTCTTGAGTTATATCACACCATGTAGATGGTGCATCCATCAGAGGAATTCGCATCTCGTTTAAAAGAGCTACCCACATTGCATAAATGATAGCATCCACCAAACTTGGGTATTTAACCTCAGTTGTGAATCCAAAATCACATGATGCTTTCTAGAAGTCCAAGCGATAGAATTACAACCAGGAAATGTTGAAAAACCCCTTGTTGATCACCTACCAGCCATGTCGCTCTCCCAATCTGCATCAGACTGAGTAATATTAAATTACTTCAAAACTCTCTTCGAATGAGTGCCCTAGGGAGTTTGTCTTGACTAAGCCAATTAACAGTACAAGCAATGCCAGGTCTTGTGTAACACATTGCAATGCCCCTAAATGCTCCTATATAGCTCAACATCCAAGAAGACATGACAATTGACAAGCATTTATTGATAGTTAAGTATTTCATGTCATAGGGGTGGGAAAAGGCTAGTCAGGAAGCATAGAAGTTTTATCTGGCCATTCGTGATTGTATTTCTTCCATATGAGGATTCCAGTCTCCAAACCTAAGATGAGCAAATTCAATCCCCAAGATGTAGCCACCAAGTAGAAAACTTGTGACTCATTTGGCTTGTAAGATGCAAATTTTTACCTCATCGCTGCTAGTAATAACCAGATCATCCACAGATACAAGATAGATGATGCTGCCATGGGACTGCTAGATGAATGGCAATGATCTGCCCAGGAAGAGATTAACTGTAAAGAGCAAAGGAGATTATTCAGCTTGTGAAACCATACTTTTGGGCTTCGTTTGAGCCCATAAATAGCCATTGTAAGCTTACATAAATTATACCAATTGAGGTATCAGTAGTAGGGACGCTCAAATCCTGGTATCCATGAACAATTCTTCAAGTAGATCAACATTGAGAAAAACATTGTTAAAGCCCACAATCTAATGCAATCTCCGATGGTGAGTCACAGGTATAGTGAGAAGAGTCCTGACTGTGAGTAGTTTTACGACAGGACAAATATATTTGTCTAGTTTGCGCCAGACTCTTGCAAGTACCTTTTGCTAAAAAAAATGCACTATTCCTTGCTATAGTACCATCAACATGCATTGTAACTAAATTTAGATTTAGATATCCATATGCACCCAATAGGTTTCCCATCTAATGGCAATGAAACAAGCTTCCGAGCTAAACTTAAAAGTGTCATACTCTTCCTTGCCTGTTGCTACACACTTGGGATCAAACTGTGTTAGTGAAAACAAGATAGAAATGAATCAGCGTGTGTAGCAAAATGTATTGGTATTAGAAACTCCTCATGGCTCAAAAGAACTTCTTTGTTTTGGTAAATAAAAGCTTCAACGAATTGGGTACCAGAAACTCCTCATGGCTCAAAAGAACTTACAAAAGGTACCGGCAATTATCCATGAAAAACCTCATATTGACAATAAGGTTGAAACTTAGGCCACTGCAGGGTACGAACAGGATTAACCTTCATTAGCAGAAATACCTACCTTTGACCAAACAACCAAACGATGAATTAGATTTAAGAGGCAGCAACTGCATCCAACATATGCTCCTTAGTGCCTATAGGTGTAGTTTCTGCTCTAGAGGCAGAAGAAGTAGGAACCACAGAGAGTGACTTCGACAAAGGTACTCCACGGTCATTGCTTCCACAATATGATGGCAAAATATGTTTAACAGAAGACCATGTACATGGAGGTGTGGTGAGCATTGATAACATAAAGATGGTAGAAGACCACATGAACTGATATCATGAATAGTTTAAGTACATGTTGAGTCTAGCTAGGAAAGGCGTCTTCATTGAAGATCACATGACATGACACGTATATGTGACATATCAACGTAAGTCTACCCTCAATATCGTCGCATGTACCAAATTAATACAGATGAAGCCTATCTGACGTCTGCTAGGGAGTATTATAGACCCTCGAATAGGAGAAGCATTCACATCCATACACTCAAAGGATAATGTAGTGAGGTGGTTTATGAAATGACTTTTTGCCTGGTGTTTCCTTGTGATGCCCTGATAGGGAATCCATTGATAAGAACAACAATGGTAAAGTTTCAAACCAATAACACAAGGACAGAGATCCTTAAGCTAATAGTGTAACCCCAATCTCAACCGCTTGATAATAATTCCTTTCAACCAAACCATTTTGCTTGTATGTAGATAGGTAAAGGCTGCTGTAAACCACATTCACACAAGTATGACTGAAGGGCTCTTGATTCCCCACCAAAGTCAGTTCGAAGACTAAATTTTCATGTCAAGTTGCAGCTCAGGATTTGAAGTTCTTAAAGGCTTGGAGAGCATTTGATTTCTTAGGAAGTAGATAAAGCAAAACAAAATGGCCACACGCATCAAGAAATGTTATATAATACCAAAAAACTGACGCTATTATGACTGCTGGACCTCATATATTATGGCCTAGTAGATTGGACCAACTACCTAACCATCTTTCTCAATCATCAATACAATTCTACACTTGAACTATATACTTAGCTACCCCAGCAAAAGAATCGACAAAGATTTAGTGCCATCGATAAATGATCCCAGAATATATTGCATTACCGAGGAAAACTAACGTATCAGGAAAACTTAAAAATTCTTTCAAGTATTTAGAGAAATAAAGTAAAACTCGATAAATAACAAACTTGCTCAAACAATAATGTATTAATCACACTTCACATGAGATATTCTGTGCATACCGTGAAAGACGTTCCAGCAGATTCTGATTATAGCACTTTAGAGCATGGTCATATACAATCTCAGTCCTTTTGGCAACATCATGCCAATTGTAGAGCTCCCTCATCTGCATAAAACAAAGCCAAAAAATAATAAACTGATTCATTCATTCAGAGAAAGAATTTTGAAACTAGATATTCACCCGCTTGTGCATCACTTGTGGATCAATCTCTGGCAACATAGAGATTCCTTTACCAATCGCTTGTACCATGGCACTAGGATCAGGTTCCGCCAAAACAATCATGTCTTCTGGCAAAACCTACAAGCGAAAAAGTAAAACCAACCTAAATTCCAGTATGACATTATTTTGACAATGATTAATTGATCAGAAACTTAAGTTCATGGAGCCTCAAAAAAGATTCAAAGACACATTCACATTTTGAACAGTTTAAGAAAGAATATCAATCATACATACCTCAGGAACACCTCCAACACGTGTGCTAACTGTTAACAATCCACAACTAGCAGCCTCTAATATAGCTATGCAAAATGCCTCTGTTAAGGAACTGCAACAGTAGGGGACCAAAAAGAATGGACAGAAGGTACAAAAGAATTGCATTTGTTAAAACGAAAAGTTTACAATATAATACCTACTACAGTTCTAGTTAATTTAGAACTATTGAATTCTCAGCTTCGAAAATTTATGGGAGAATGACAAAAAAAGAAGCTCAAAATTACTAAATCCTAAATCAAGTTTAATAACAATACTTTATTTGGTATTGATAACACTGAATTTGTAAATGACAACAAACTTTTGTTGACAATTATTTGGCATTTACAAATTTTCTTTTTTTGTCATTTTCCCAAAATTTATTTGATGCTAGGGTCAATACATATAGGAATAAAAATAACTACAAAATTTAAAAAATTATGAATCTAGATAAAATAAAACTAATCTAGATAAAACCAAATATATTATCTAATTTTATATTCCTAAAAATATCTTATAGAAACAAAATATTGAAACAACAAATTAATATTAAACTAATAACAAACTAATGGGCCCTTGACGGGCTTGGATTTCCTGGATATCATTCAACACTCCCCCTTAAGCTGAAAAATAGATATTCATCATTCACAACTTGCTCGTGAAATCATCAAACTTTGCTACTGATAACGATTTGGTCAAGATGTCAGTGTTGACTAGAAGCGGTGTATACTACCTCAACCCTTTGTCTTCTGTGTTTTTATTAACGAAGTGTTGATCTATCTCAACATGCTTCCTCCTGTCATGATGTATAGGATTCTTTACAATTTTGATAATAGAGGTGTTATCACATAACTCCCTCATTGGACCTTCTCGTGTAATCTTTATTTCTTTAAAGAGTCTATTGAGCCATATCGCTTCACATATCCCTTGGGCTAATGCTCTATGCACTACTTCAGCATTGCTTCTTGAAACTACAGATTGTTTTTTACTCCTCCATGTCACCAAATTACCTCATACGAAAGAGCAATAACCTGGAGTGAATTTCCTATCTTCAAAAAGCCTACCCAATCAGCATCTGAATAAACTTCTATTCCTCTTTGACTATTGTTCTTAAAAAATAATCCTTTTCCTGGAGTAGTCTTCAAATATCTCAATACTCTATTGACTGTGTTCATATGATCCTTATTGGGATGCCTAGTCAAGCATCTTACCACTTTTGTTGCATGAAAGATATTAGGTCTTGTATAAGCTAGATATATCAACTCTCCCACTAGCCTTTGGTACCTTTCTTTATCCACAAGAAGACAATCCTACCTTTCAAATAATAATTTAAGGTTCATTTCCATGAGTGTTGCCGCTGGTCAACAACCCAGCATACCTGTTTCTTTCAACAGATCAAGAGTATACTTCCTTTGAGATACAACTATACCTTGTTTTGATCTAGCAACTTCCATGCCCAAAAAATAACATAAAGATCCAAGATATTTGATCTCAAATTCTACAGCTAGGAACCTTTTTTGCGTTTTCCAATTCATCAATATCATCCCCTATAATAATTACACCATCAACATAAACCATTAAGATAGCTAATTTTCTACCAATATGTTTAACAAATAGGGTATGACCAACTTCACGCTGATTATATCCCTTTTTCATTACAGCATTGGTGAACCTTTCAAACCAGCCATGTGGTGATTGTTTTAGACCATACAACAACTTTCGTAGTCTGCAAACTCTGTTTTTATTTTCTCCATCTCTAAATCCAGGGGGAACATCCATATAGATCTCTTCTTCTAAGTCTCCTTGGAGAAACGCATTCTTTACATCTAATTGATGCAAGGGCCAATTAAAGTTAGCAGCTAGAGAGAGTAATACTTTGATTGTGTTAAACTTAGCAACTGGAGCAAATGTCTCCTAATAGCCTATCACATATTGTTGAGTGTAACCTTTAGCAACTTTATACTTAGTTACGGAGCCATCTGGATTGTATTTCTTGGTCAAAACACAACTGCATATGACTGTTGTCTTCCTTTTAGGAAGCTCAATTAATTCCCAAGTGCCATTTTTTTGCCAAGGCATTCCTTTCTTCATTAATAACCTTTCTCCAATTCAGGAATTTCCAAGGCATTGTGTATGTTTTTGGGAATATCATCATTAGAAACTCTAGCTGTAAAAGCGTAAAAGCTCTTAAGATAGGAGATAATTTCTCATAAGATATAAAATTACCAATGGAATGTTTAGTAGTGCAAGATCTTATCCATTTTCTCAATGTAATGGGCCAACTTAGGTCATCATGTACTGGATTTGAGGTTGGAGCAGATGATTGGCATAAGGTATGTGTCTCCTCATGCTACTGTTCTGGCACTATGCAAGTGTTTGATTGAGCTACTACGTCATTCTGGTTGGTCTAAATTGTTATTCATGTTTATCTCACTATTGGAACCATTATCAACAAAGCTAGGTTAGGTGATGAAGGACCAGGCTTGACAATACGTTGAAAATAAGAGGGTTGGATATGAGAAGGCTCAAGTTGTGACGTAAGGTCAAAAAAGGGATCATAAAACAGACATTCAATCCTAGAACACTCTCCCTGAATGGGCATTTTGTGAAAGTGAGGAAGTTTTACACCGAAAGTGAGATCATGTGAAACATAATATTTTTGGGAAGGTGGAAAGTAACATTTGAACCCCTTTCGAGTAGGAGAATAACCAAGAAAAATGCACTTGAAAGCACAAGCATCAAGTTTGGAGTGGTGATGAGAATGGACATAAGCAGTACAACCAAAGACTCGAAGGGGTAAGTTATTGATAAGAGGAGACGAAGGGTAAGTTTGAAGTAGAGTTTGGAGAGGCGTGGAGAAGTTTAGAGTATGAGAAGGCATACAGTTAATAAGGTAAGTAGAGGTAAGAATAGCATCACCCCAAAAGTGGCTAGGAACGTTGGAGGTAAGCAAAAAGGACCGTGTCATGTCTAAAAGTTGGCGATTTTGGCATTCTGAAACACCATTTTGTTGAGGGGTATAAGCACAGGAGTTTTGAGATGGATGTCATGTGTTGTGAGGTAGTTGGTGAAAGCGTGACTAAAACATTCTTCGGCATTATCAGTACGAAAAATTTGTATGCAGGCTTGGAATTGAGCTTTAACCATAGAATGAAATTGCTAGATAACAGGAAAAATAGTAGATTTGTCTTTTAGGAGATAAACCTAAGTAAAACAAGTGTGATCATCAATGAAAGTGAGGAACCAGCATGCTCCATTTGTTGTTCTAATTTGAGAGGGTTCCCATACATCACTATGAATTAATTCAAAAGGATGCAAAGACTTATATAGCTTGGCAGGATAAGAATTACGAGTATGTTTAGCCAAAGAAAAGATTTCGCAAGAAAAATTAGAAAGGTCTTTATTCAAAAAATAAGGATACAACTTTTTACAATAATCCATACTAGGATGACCAAAATGAAAATGCAAAAGCTTGATGTCATCTAAAAAAGACTCAAAAAGAAAACTAGTACAAACTGAGAAGGATCACACAAGGAAAGGTTTGCGGCTTAGGCTTGCATCACGGCAACTCTCTATTGGTTGAACTAATATAGATCATCATCACACTCACCCCAACCAATCATTCTCCCCAACCTCATATCCTAAAAAGCACAATCACACAACCAAAAGTTGACATCAACTTGGTTATAGGTGGTAACTTTAGCAACAGTTATAAGGTTGCAAGTTAAGCAGGAAACGTATAAAACATTCTCTATCATAAGAGTAGGAGACAGAATGATAATGCCAATCTTAGAAACATTAATATGAGAGGAATCCAACAATCCAAGGTTCAGGAAACGATTTAAGGTTACTAAATAGTGGAACATTGCTTGTCATTTGATCAATAGCTCTACCATCAATTATCCATGAATCGGAATCATGGCGAACAGAAGGATAAGCACAGAACCCATACCTGACTTGGTGGCTACTTAACCGGTAGTGGTACCCACTTTAGGGGATTTAGATTGATCGTGAGCAAGAAGGAGACATTATAGCTGATCAAGTTGTTCTTTTAACTAGTGAAATCAGGTTGGGGAATATCATCGAGGGATGCAAAATTGCCACGCCTCTCTTTGTTATCATTTTGTTTGTCATGATTGGGTTTGCCATGTAGTTTCCAACAGGTGTCTTTAGTATTGCAATGATCACAAAACCGGCATGGTTTGTTATCCATAGAGGAAGACACACAGGCAACCACAACAAAGGGCTCACTGGTCAAAAGGGAGTAGCTACCTGCAAGACTCTTGCGACTTTCTTCACATTTGACAGTAGAGAACACCTCATGAAGAGAGGGTAAGTCAGGAAGACTCAAAATACGACTTCTAACATCCTCATATTCAGGATTAAGGCCAAAGAGAAATTTGTAAATGCTCGGTTTCAATGAGTTTTTGATAATACTTGGCAAAAACAGGACATGACCATCGATGGATTTCGTACAAGTCAGTTTGTTGCCAAAGTTGATTTAGGGTATTGTAGTAGACACTAGACAGTAACAATCTTATCCCCTTGTTTGATAGCAAAGAGTTGTCTTTTGATTTCAAAGAGAACCGCAACGTTAGAGGTAGAAGAATAGAGTTCCCGAGCAACATCCCATATGTCTTTTAACACTAGTATAAAGCATAAAATTCTTTCCAATATCAAGAGTCATAGAATTAATAAGCCATGACATTACCTGACTATTCTCAGTACACCAAGAGACGAATTTAGAATTCAGTCATGGCAGGTTGAGTAGACCAACCATTAAGGAAGTCTACTGGCACTGGTCATGTGTGCGCCATACCGGTCAAATTGAAGCTAATTATCGGCCATGAGACAGGGAAGAGTAGTCGCATAACATGGGTAAGCAAAAAGGAGCAACGCACACTAGGAAGCAAGTAGAGAACCGAAAAAATATAGAACTATATGAGGATGCGATCGTGAACAGAGACAATCAAAATAAGCACATTGAGGGTTTTGAATAATAATTCTTAATTGATTTCATCACAATGTTACAACAGAATAAATAGGGAAAAAATGAATACATGAGGAGGTAGAGAG